GAAAGGACTTTAACCTGTCACGTGTGCTTCGCCGCAGTAATTTTCACTTTCATTTCTTCGTGCTTCTGCAAAATTACAGAACTCACTCTCCTGTAGCACCGAAATGAAAATGTTTAATCTCCGACTAAACTTAAAAACGTTAATAAATTCTAGACGCGAAAACATTCCACCCACTCCACGTGACTCGAGTTTATAGCTCGTATGAAAAGAGAAAGAAAGAAAAAAATAAGTGTTCCTACATCCCCCTAAATCGCCTTATCCGGCCAACACCGTTTATTTCATTTACGGGATTTCTCGTGTCTCTCCCTCGCGAGGGAGCCTCTCAAACTCTGAAGCACAGTCACGGCATTATCCTCCGAGGGGAATTAGCTGTCCTGAAATTAAGGAGCCTTTCTTTCGACGAATCCCCCCTGCCCAAAGATTTACATTCATCCTCTTACTAATCACCCCAGCTTTCGTTCTTCGTCCTCATCCGTACCCTCTCTCTTTCTCGAGAGGAGAATCTTTGCTTCCTTTCCCTCTCTCTGTCTCCTAATGAGATTTAGATCTCTGCGCTTGCCATACTAATAGTTTTTTTACGCGCAGTTTTGAAACTCCTTGTCTTTTAGAATACTTTTCAATTAGTATTCGAAAAACATCTCAAGTGCAACACCAATAAATGAGCTCTTAATCATAAAAACTCTTTTGTCGCGTTTCATCAACCTCCCTTTGCATCGTTAAAATTTTCATCATCAACTAATCGACGTTTCAATTATGTACGTAATTAATGGAGAGTTCTTTCCAGAAAATATTGCGTTGATTGCACATTGTTAAGTTATAAATTCTTTTGCAACGAGGAACTGTCGGTTGCAATTAGACCAGTTATTCCTTGTCATTGACGAACGGACGGGCTTGAGGGATCTTTTTCCGCGAGACAAAAGATTTTTCAATACAAGGGTGCAAGAACTTGTAAGAAACGACAAGGAAGCAAAACCACCGAGACGTGGGTATGACGGATGAGTCCTTCGAGCTTTTTGACTGATTAAAAATAAACGCCGACGCGGTTGAAAGGGCTCTCGATCAAAAGTGAGAAATGTTCAATTACGATAACGCAAAGTAAATTTACTCTTCCTCCTCGATACGCCACCGCACCTTATCCTTGCGCAAGTTTTCCAAGTAAAGTGCTGGTCGACGAGAAACATAACTTCAAAGTGTTTCCGATCTCCTTTTTTTTTGCGATCCGCGTAATTTTAGGTTCACAAGCTGCTCCAAGCGAGAGCAGAACAGTGTGTGACACGTCGTTACGAGAGCGACTTAATACTCTCAAGTGCCACTTGGACTTGTCAAGCAAAGTATATAAGCTGCCCGCTCGCACACTCTTACCCTTCCCTCGTCATTATTCCGAGGGTGTCGAGTTCCTCGCGTCCATTTTCCCCCCAAGTCGAAGGATCGGGTGAGGCGGAGAGGAGGATGAAGGATTTAAGGAGTATCGCATTAAAAGAAGAAGCCATCAGCTCGCCACTCCGAGCTGTTGTATACCATCTTCTCATCCTCCTTTCCCAACACATATGCAGGCTCGTGCCAACAACTCGAGCGTCGAGAGCTCGCTGTGTCTTGAATTTACGACCTAATTGCCAGGAGACGCAGCACCACTCCCGTACACGCGGGAACGACGAATTTGCATAGAATAAGCCTTTATCTCTATTTCTCCCGTGTCACGAGTTTTCTTTTTTTTTTCCAACGAGTATATGGAGTGGAGGAGGAAAAAAAAGACGAGTTATTAAGTGACCCTCTATCTCCGACGACGACACGGTGTTTTAATTCCTTATAATTAAACCCTCGCCAGGGAGTTTTGCGTATTTTTGTTTGTTTTTCCCCCCCGGGTGATTCAAGTGTCTTTTTTTTTTTTTTTTTTTTTTTTTTTTTTTTTTTTTTTTTTCGTCTCTTGGTTGAGATAGTATACGTGTACGGTTACAATTATACGCCGTAATTACACGTAATGGGATATTCATGGGGCTGTAATTAAAATGAAGTATATTTCGGCAGGAAACTGCCGAGGGAAGCTATTAAGCTCTGGTTGTTTGCACGCGCATATAGTCGAGAAAAAAAATATGAAACAGTACTTTTACGGCCACGTTGATAAAAAAAAGTGTGTGTTTACTCTCCCCCGCTCGTGTCGTGCGCTCCTCTTTGGCTTTTTATAAAATAAAAAGGCTATCGATGAAATTGATCAAAGCGGTGGAATTTTTTTTTTTCCTCCTCTGTACGCGTAAATTAAAAAAATGAAAAATATGATACAAGCTACGACGCAGAGCTGTACAATCACGTGATTTTATCGAGGCTCGATTTCTGCATAAAACATACGTACACGCGCCGGTGCTTTCAAAAAGCGATTAGCCATTTACACGTAACGGCGCAACTGTACCCCGCCGCGCGTTCATTTTTTTTCCATCCCCCCGGCTGGCGGTCGTAAAAAAACTTTCGCGTATCAGGTAAAAAAGGGGGCGGGAGCCAGTGAGAAATGCTTTTATTTACTTTTTTTTTTAAATGCATCTAAAAAAACAGACTTTCAATCTTTTATTGGAGATATATTGATGCTCTTTGGGGATAAAACCCGGGAAATTCGTGCATTTCCCGAAAATTTTTTTCTCATTAAATGACGCTTAAAACAGTCACATGGAGTCGAGAAGACAAACTTCCAAAGCACTCCCGCACGAGCGTTGCATAGCCTCCGAAAAAAAAAGGAAAAAAAAAAAAAACCCGATACCTCGAATAAAACCGCACGATGAAACGCTCGATAAGCTCTTGCAAACGACCACCAACCCCTCAACCCCCTCGAGCAAGCTCGCGTGTTTACCGAAAGCTCCATCCACACGTCCATCGATCGCTCCTTTTTTTCCTTCTCCCCCTCCATCAGTTTTCCGCGGCAGTCCGATCCTCCACGACGTCGGTACACTTTCACAGATGTTAATTACAATCCGGTTGGTCAGTTGCTTTTATTTTTTTCACCCACCTATTCCACTCTCGTCCCGTGCGTGGAAGCGCTGGATGTTTTTTTTTTTTTTTTTTTTCATTCCAGAAAAGCTTATTTATAGCCCGCTTTGATGCTCAAAGAAAAGAATAAGTCTGCGGTGCTGGTGGTTCACGCTGCAGCGAGCAACTGTGCCACCCCGGGAGGCTGGAGGGAGCGCTCGCTGGCTAAATTATGGGGTTGGTTATTTGCGCTCTAGTTGAAATTTATCGCGCGATTTTTATGATAAGATAAAACACCGCCACCGACGACTCGAGGAATCAAACGCAACGCTGCGAAGAGTTACCGTATCTGGGGATCGATTACCCCAACCTCCTCTCTTTTTTCGTGCATAAATAATAAAGTTTATATTAGCCTTTTGTCGCAAAAAATTCAAAAATGCAAATTTTCAAAACGAGTACTTGCCCCTGTGTACCTAAAAATCATCAGCGACCTGCTATCTGCTAGTAAACATTTTTCCACCCCCCCCCCCCTCTTGTACGTATCTCCCTCAGTAAGGGAGAATAGCACTTCATGCGTGGCACGACCCAAAGCCTCCCTCTGCCCTTATTAAAATTCTCACATCGTCCGAACTGGCCATTAACAAGCTCACCTTTTCTTTTTCCGCTTTTTTATCGACCTCGTTCCCTCACCCGCTGGGGGTATATAACATACATGTACACATCTCTTCCGCTCCACATCCCTCCCTTTCTCGCGGAGTTTGTTGAGCTCGCGTCTATTTTTGCTCCCACGACGATAAAAACGAGAGCGCGTGAATTTTCACGGCCGAGCGAGGGGTCGCCTTTGCAAAAAAATTGGCACCCACGTACGGAGAGAGAGAGGGACAGGACTTGGGCGTAAGTTTGAGCCGAGAACTTGGACTTGATGGGTTACACGTCGATCGAAGGGTAATGAGAAAGTGAGTGCCGTGTGTTTGCCGTCAAGCGCACGCTCGTGCCTGTACAAGGGCTTTGTTAACGAATTATTTGACGTTGCTGTTGTTGTTGCGTGGTTGTTTTACGATATCGGAAATTCGTCGTATTTAAATCAGTGCAGCGGTGGTTTAACCATTGGTTTCAACCTTTTTGTTTTTAGTTTTTCGATAACCTGTCTTTACAATATTGATATCGTATCTGTTATTCATAGATTTTTATAATTTACAAAATCAAACGATGTCTTATTTTTTCATGCGAATGACTTATTTAGGTTAGTATAAATATTTTTATGCGTTGCTGAAGTGATAAAACGAAAGGGTAGGCATTCAAAAATCAATTTCTATTCATGCAACGACGTACATTCCAACAAATTTTTACGTATAAATTTTACATGCGAAAGACGTGCCCAAGCAGTACAAGTAGTACGAGTCAATGTATGGTCAGACTCGCCGGCAAAAGCTACAGGCATCCCCATTTAGGTGAAAAAAATTTTTTTCTCAGACTTTCCATCAACCGTATCGTTTTCATTTTTCGTACCTTTATCCATTTATACTTTATCACGAACAAAAAATAATAAATAAATCATAATTTGCTACCCAAACACTTATTGACTACACAACATCGTTCAAAAGTGTTTCGAGAAGAAAAAAAAAATGATAAGAGTGATCGATTGGAATTTCTGAAATAATTCCAAAAGTCTTGCACGGACGGAGCAATCCTTTAGCCATCAAAACTACATTAATCCGGGAGACTCGATGAAACCCGGTGAGTTTAAAAGTAAGTAATTTTTAAACGGACACGACGACCATCGATCATCGCGATTTTCATAATCACTTTTCCGATTTTCCAAAAAAAGTATACACACGCACCCGCTCCTCGCCTCAAATTCGTAACCGTCGCGATCCAACTACACGTACGTGCCCACGTAGCGTTTGCACAGCGAGTCTACACTAGCGTCAGCAGGATAACCCACAACCCATAGCGCCGACAGCTCGGAGAAGAGAGAACGATCGAGCTGTTTGGTACTGTATCCAATCGAGGTGGGAGAACGAAGGAGAAGGGTAAGAGTAACTCACCATCGCCGTTGGTGCGGGCACGGGGCGGCAAGGAAGCCTCGGGCACCGACTTGGCACTACCCGTGCCTGCCGACTCGTTGTCTCGGGGCTGGTACTGTGGGCTCTCGAGGTTCGGGCTGGGGCTGAACTCCATGCGGAAGTCCGCGCGGTCGAAGCCCTCGTCCAGATCGGCCGGCCGGTCCTCCTCCTCCTGGGCCGGGTCGCGGTTCTCGAACTGCTCGAGGAGCACCGTCCGCCAAACTGCAAGTAGAAACGTTAATTACTCCTCTTGTCCTGTATATAGATGCAGGGATGGGGTTGTTTGGTAAGTATATGTGACTGTTGGAAACGCGATATCCAACGCGTAAAGAGATAGCCGGGGGATTACGATACGAGTATAGATTAAATTTTTCATTTGTACACAAGCTCGGGCAGCTTTGCGACTAAAAAATAACTACTTATTCCACCCTCCCTTCCTACAACCCTTGAATGTGCGTAGAAAACAGTAACGATCCTTGTACGCTCCAACCGATCCCTTGGCACTTGAATATTCATCCCTGCCCGACATTCAGCGTTACCGTACAATCCGGGAGTATTGCAATACCTCCTCTGGAGGATCACTTAGCGCCATGCAGCTCCTCCGGTTCTCTTGGCTGAAGATTTATTATAGGCAAAGCGAGGGCTTCTAATCTGACGTCCGAAGGACCCTCGCTCGCTTTCGCTGTATTTTCCTTCTTCGGAACTGAGAGGGACGGAGATGGTAATGAGAAAGCTACGCTCGGTAATCGTTATAACAACGAGCATCATTGACAAACTCACGTGATATTACCACCCATTTGTGACGTTCGATACGAGCGATCAAAAACGCTCACCCCACTCGTCTAATTGTACCGAGTACATTATCCAGTTCGCCGAATGCACGTACACGCTCCGCAAACAACTCAGACCGAGGCAGTAAGTTGCGGAGGCTTTCAAATTAGCGCGCCACATCCGATAATTGAAAGGAAATCGGATGTAATTCCTCTTGGCTGGTGAATGGAGATGAAACGTAAGTCGAGCGAACGATTGTTATTATGTAACAGCCGTGGAAGCGCTTCGTGGCCTGAATACCTCTTCCTTCCAGCTCTGCACGCCTAATCTCTGGTGGTACAGCTTCCTCGCTCTCCGACTAGTTTTACTCCGAATATCTGGGAGTCCCCGTGCCGACGCTGTTATATTGAACAAGTTCGATTGATTGTGAAATTTTTCGGCCACTATGCGAGTCGCTTCGTCAACAATTTCGAGAATCCATCGATTTTTTTCCACCCGCCACATCGTTCGTATACAACGGGAGCGCCTTTTTTTGGCGCAGTTGGGATTTTTATTTTCACGTTTTTCGAATCAAGCTACCGTAAAAAGGGATTGGGGGGAAAAAAATTCCTGTATTCTAAATCACTGTTTGCGAAATGTAAAACGAAAAGGTATACCTGCCCACCAGTTGTGCTGTGCACAGAATATCCCTCCGATAGAATCGCCGGGCGAAAGTATCCGTGGAATTTATCCGTTGGATGAAGGGGCACGAAAAAAAAAAAAAAATGAAAAACAAGGATAGAAAAAAAAAGAGTCACAGCTGAAAGAAAAATACCCGTATGTGGGCGGTATTTCGTCGACTGACGCGTGTAGGTTCGTCGAACTGTGGAATCAGCCCAACTAAAAAAAAGGAATAAAGTCGGTGGCGCGTACGTGTCGCGAATGCAATTGAAAATTCATCGGCGACGCGTGATGTGATACACACGTGCCGGGGGGCACCAGTAAAAGTCGAAAGTTTCTTGACCCCCGACCCACGATCCGTTCACATGCGCGCCTAAGTATGGGTGTAGGTATCCCATAGATCGCGAGGACAAAAGGGTCACAAAAGATTTTTCGAATGCGTGGCTTCCCTGATTTATGCGGCGAAAGGACGCTTAATACCGCATATGCGGCAAAAAAAATCAAGTTTAAAAAACTTTAAAAAAAGTTTTTTGTTCTTGTTCAGATATAGTTTTTTAAAAGTTTTTTCTTGAGACAGAGCGAAACTTGGTCAGAACTTTAAACGCAAGTAAATGTATCTAAAAAAAAGTTAAACAAATTTTTTAAAAAGTTCAAATGAGTTTGGAGTAACTTTTCTAAAACTTGCGTTTAAAGTTCTGACCAAGTTTCGCTTTGTCTCAAGAAAGAATTAAAAAAAATTTTTTTCTGAACATGAACAAAAAAACTTTTTTTTTTTAGTTTTTTAAACTTGATTTTTTTCACGCGGGTAAGCTCGGCCCGCGGGGCGAGGGAGGGATTACCGACGGTGAAATTGAATTTTTTGCGCTCTCCTCTCCCGCCCCCGGTGTAAGCTACTACGGGCCCAGATGTTGTATAATTGATCGTTGACGCTTCGGCTCTTCCTGTTTCTTTCATTCGAAAATTTACAGACGCAGCACGCACCCTTTCCCGTCCCTCTACCCCTGGATCGATTACTCGCATCGTACCGTTACTTTCATCGAATGCGAAATTGATACCACACCCCCTCCCATGATGAGTCGTAAAGTTAAAGGTTCGCTCGGTATCATGAAGCGATTTTATTTTTCTTCTGGTTAAAGTTGCTTCCAAGAATGGACATTCGGTGATTTGTGTAGGGAAACAGGTCTTACTATTTCAACTTTGCGTTTCCGGGATCTCAAGTTAATTTGAAATACAATTTTCCAGCAACATCTTCCACGGACGAGCTCATTGTACACATGGAGAACTGTACTTGCCTTACTTTGTTAATTAAAAATTTTTTAATTTCAATTTCATCCAACCAGAGCTTGCTTTATTGTAAAACTTAGCAAAAAATCATATTTTCTTGTTCATTGTGCCATACTGTACTTCACAAGAGATGAGCGGGATTAAATCAAAATTAAAAAATACAGAGAAACGATAACAAGCAATAAACTCGGTATACACCCCGAGTTTCACCCCCGAGAGAGATTATATACGTAGGATAACTCTGGCGAAAAAAAGATCGGTGAGCACCAATCCCCATAGGTAAGCCGGTTAACTCTAAGATCCATTAATATTTCCTGGCGAATACCTGCGCACACACACACGCCCACTCGGAGCGACGGCAGTGCGCCCGCGGCGTAATTAGACGAGCAGCTTACGTCTGATAATAAACCGTAATAGCTATAGCTGCGCATACACGTGCAGCCGGGGCCGGTCGATGCGTCACTTTGACTCGTGTACGTATAGACACAGCCCTCGGATACACCGTTATATTTGTAACTGTGTACGTATGGGTATACGTACAGGTAATATAGATGAATGGTCGAGTGGTGGTTGCACGAGATCTAAGAAGCTTGCACGTCGCACGTATAGTTGCGCGATGCGAGAGAGGGTGGATTTAAGTTTCTTTAACAGTGCTCGTCATTGTGTACATGTACAGCTACTCGGGCGAATGATGTACACGGTGTTTGCGTACAATCACCGCCGCCTTCGCGTGCCGGTGTAATCTCTCACGGCTTGTTGTGCCGTGTTGCTTCGCGTTTGCGTATTTATATGTGTATGTGCGAGCTAGCGAGATTTCGAGGTGTACTCGCGGGTGTACGGTTTATCAGAGCGTTATGCAGATTCGCATGAATTTTAACGAGGCTATACGTTTCTTTTTCCATACACCGCCGAACAAGGACTGCTTGGTTCGCTAGTTCGGGTGTGTCCTATTAAGCTTTTTTCTTTTTTTTACATCATAGACCACTTTGTTTTGAGATATACGTATAAAAACGAATAAAGAGAGGGCCACTGACTAATTTACTCTGGGGAAGCAATTTGCCCCAAGTGGGGTGGAAAATCAACCAATTAAGGGTTGAAGCACCGCTCTTATTTTTTGGTGGAGACTTTTGATGACTTTGACGTATCCCAAAGTCTTTCCATGACTGCGAAAACCTCGGAAAAGATTTCGGACCTTTTTTATGGAGACATTCGAGGGTGCATCAACCCCCGGCGTGTCCCTGTTGTCACGCGATTAAATTTGGAGTGCAGCTGACATTAATCCAGAAATAAGTGGAGCCCATCACTCGGTGACGTTAATGAAACACTCGAAATAGCCCCGTGTACGATATAATTACGTGCTTGTCGCACGGACATTTGAAATTCATTTCGGAAACGCCACGCATGGCGGCACGAGCGGCCATTGTCAGGTGTACCGTGCAGCTCGAACGAGTTTAACGAGAGTTGCATCGATGCCCATTAAAACACCGAATAAATTACCCGGAGCTCGTTACCCGCTGATCGGCATCAACTCTGTTTGTTGGATAACTGCGAGTGGCCGAAATCGACGATGCGCCTCTGTTTAAATATCAAATTTTATAGACCAAAGTACCTTACTCTTTGGCTGGTGCTTCAAGTTCATTAGTTCACTTGTCGGGATAGTGGATGATAGTATATATAATAATGAATGTGGGCATTACGATGCGGTGGCTCGCTTTCTTCCGATCTCTTTGAAAATTACGCCATCGATAAAGTTTCTATCCTCGAGGGTTGGATATCGGCTAAATTTACGGGGTCCTTGTACGGGATATGTGTACGTGAAACGTACTAATTAAATTATACTTTCCAGTGAAAAAAGGATGGGGTCTCTCGGCCATCGATTTTCTCCGACGAGGGACCTTTGAACTCTAAACCGGCGGAAAGGAAGGGGAGGAGGGGCCGCGCGAAAAGTAATGGTCTCCCGTGAAAATGACGCGGATGTTGAGAGGAGGTAAAGTGGGGAAAAAAGATGTCTGGGTGTGAGAGGGTTTTATCGCATGCAGAACTTCCGGGTGTGGTGCGCCGAAAGATGAACGATGCCAGACATTCGACCGGATCAATGGGGGGAAAGAAGAAGTTCGCACGTGGCCCTATACCTTTTCGTGATGGTGTGGAGATCTACATTATACTCTCCTTGGGATCTTTATAAAATTTTTGCCTCGTGCGGGGATTATACGGAATACCTTCCGTTGAAAGTTACTCAAGATAATCATTATTTTTAGTGCATGACAACATGGTTCACTTTATTAACTCTGGATGGAGGAATAATAAACGTAGTTATAAAAAAGAGGGATAAGACAACTTGCCTTGAATTACTCTAGGTAAACGCCTCTAACTAAAAACAAAATATTGACTGATTTTTTCGTAAACATTTTGTCTACTGACGCAGTTTACATTATACAAAAAGATTTTGAAAGACGGTACCTACGTAGTGATTTTTTTTACACTCGCAGTGCCAAAAACGATCAAGT